GAGAGATAGTGAGAGAGAGTACAAGCAGGGGGAGCGGCAGGCAGAGGGAGTGGGAGAAGGAGAAGCAGGCTCCTCGCTGAGCAAGGAGCCCGACTTGGGGCTTGATCCTGGAACCCCGGGATCATGACCTGAGCTGAAGGCAGACACTTAACCAACTGAGTCACCCAGTCGCCCCTGGGTTATCTTTCACAATGCAAACAACTCTATACTGACCTCTCCATCCCACCTTCACTCAAACAGCTGAAGTCAGACGAACCATTAGAGACGATGGACTCTGAAAAACAAACTGAGGGTTCTAGAGGGGAGGGGGGTGGGAGGATGGGTTAGCCTGGTGACGGGTATTAAAGAGGGCACATTCTGCGTGTAGCACTGGGTGTTATGCACAAACAATGAATCATGGAACACTACATCAAGAACTAATGATGTAATGTATGGTGATTAACATAACAATAAAAAAATTATAAAAAAAACAGCTGAAGTCTTCAGAATCTACACATGTTAACTGCAACTTACTTCTTTCCAATTAAACTGAGGACAGGGATCAATTCTCATAGTTTTGATCATACAGTAGTTGTTTAATATATGCTCACAGACACCCTGAGATGCCCACAAATGTGAGAATGAGGACTTATTCATTCCTTCATTTGGCAGATATTTGGTTGTACACCGGTCACTGTGCTTAATGTTGGGTACAAATAGTGTACAAAAGTTAGTAAGTTCCATCATACCCCAAGTGCCAATTCAACTCCACAAATACGCACTGAATACTTATGATGTGAATAGCATTGTGTCAGGTATTTCAGCAGACACAGGTAAGAATAAGATATAGTCTGCACCCTTTTATGGCAGTACACAAGCTCTACATACAAAAATAACAAGAACAAAAGCAAACAGCAGCATCACTGGATGCTAAATGCCATAAGGCAAGTACAAAAGGCTCTGGAGAGTCAAAGGTCAGAGCATACATGCTTGAAAGAGTGGAGTGAGAAGGACCGACATCAGAAAATACTTCTTGAAGTTGAAGGTGGTAGGGCCTCCAAGATGATGGCATTTTGATAGATAGGGATTCCTAGGAAAAGAAAAGTGTTTCAGGCGGAGGATAGCAAGAACAAAGATTGAAAGGCTGGGTACAGTACAGAATTTTTTTCAGAGACCAATCTAGTTAGGAATGTGTAGATGGGTAATGAGTGAAGGCTCTTGGATGTTAGGCTTAGTATTTAAATAGGTTTAGAAGAATCATTTGAAAGTCTTTCTATAACAATTCAAATTACTTTGGCGATTTCTTAATCTTTTTTTGAAACTTTTCTATTATATACATTTTCTAAAGTGATCATGGATATTAGAGATTTCTCCTTCCAACAAGGGATAAAAAATAAAATCTTTTTTTTTTTTAAAGATTTTATTTATTTGACAGAGAGACACAGCCAGAGAGGGAACACAAGCAGGGGGAGTGGGAGAGGGAGAAGCAGGCTTCCCGCCGAGCAGGGAGCCCGATGAGGGGCTCGATCCCAGGACCCCGGGATCATGACCTGAGCCGAAGGCAGACGCTTAACGACTGAGCAACCCAGGCGCCCCAAAAATAAAATCTTAATAGTCAAGCAGGCTGATAGGAGAAGGCATAATTTCAGTAATCCTGGCACTGCATCTCCATACTTTTGGGGACGTGTAAGGCTTAAAACACACATGTAGGTAAATCCTAATGGCCAAAATAGCAGAGGCAAGACTGGAAATAAAATAATTATATTCATTAAGCTCCTAACACCAGGCACTGTGCCAGGTGATTTACCCAGAATATCCTCGATCCACCAAACAACGCTATTTAGGTTTATAGCAACTGAGGCTCAGAGAGATCAAATAAGTTGCTCACGATAACTAAGCTAGGAAGCTCAGCTAGTAAAAGGTGGACATCAGTTTTGAAACCAGGCCTCTCTGATCCCCTATTTTCTCTATTGCTTACTTTTATTTGTTTTTACTATATAAAGGAGACCAGAATGGTAAGTTCATGATGCATGCATCAATGAAAAGGACTAAATATTTAACAGAGGGGCTTTAATGGTCTGGAGAAAAATTAGGCTGAAATATTCAAAACTGGTTTTAGAATGGCTTAGAGATCAAGATCAAGAGAGATGAAGTTTAGGGCTGCTTCTTGATCCAGTATGAACAATGATTATACAACAGATCTTATTTAGGAATACCAAGGGAGCAATATTCTACTTTTCATTTGGAGACTAGAGAGTACGTTCCAAGAGAATAGGGTTGTCTGTATTCACTGATACATCACAAGTCCTTAGAACAGGGTCTATCCCACAGTAAGCACTCAATAAACTCTTCCTGACATAATGAAAAGTCATTAGGGGGTAGTCTCATTTGAATACTCTTGAAATAGAGATAGAGACAGCAGAGTAGTAAGTTTAATAGTAAGTTTAAAAACCAAGTTGTTAGGATACTCTCTTTAACACTTAACCCCATGGCAAAAACAAACTACCAAAACAACAAACATACAAAAAAAGCAATAGTTGTAAAACATTAGCATGATTTTACAATGAAAGGTGGACAAAAGAAGTTAAAAGACACTTTTGCACTTTATATAGCACCTAGCACTCTGTGGATAATCAAATTTCAGTGAAATGGAATCCAGAATTTTGACCTATTATTTTAATGTTTTAAACTTTTGTGAGCAGGATATCCAATGACTGTTTTTGGAAAAGAAAATGGCTATCTAATCTGAGTACCCTAAAAGTACCAACAATTTCTTTCTTACAGATGGCAAGCAATGGAACGAAAATCTCAAAATCATTAACTCAAAGAAGTAGCAGAGTACACTTCCATAAGTCTTTATTTTTCTAATTTTGATACTCTGTTTCTATTAAAACATACAAAGAAAGCTGCAACAAAGAGCACAGAAGGAAAAAAAAAGTCTTTGGAAGATAGCGATCCTGTCTAAAGAAACACTTTTAAAGATTTAAAGAGAATAAAAGCAGGTTCCGTGGACTTTTCCCTCTGTTTTTCACAAGCTTTTCTAATATTTCTTCTTTGATGGAACCAATGAATTAACTACCACTTATCACAAAACGTTTTCTTTCAGATATGCGCTGTATATATTACTTTCTTCGGAACAGACAGCTCTTCAAGCTGCTCAAGTCTTTCAGCTGCAGCAATTTTTCTTATTTCTGTTATACTGCAATTCTTCCACGAAATATCATAAAGACCCAATTAAAAAAACTTCTTTGCTCTCCAGTTTCCCAAAGGCAATACTACGTATCTCCATCAATATTTTAACTAAATTTTCTCTATCTTTTTCATTTAGTTCCACAATCTTTGCTTACTTCAATAACTCCTAATACTATAGTTTAATTTGTCAGGGTGATCATATCATATCTTCTTTTATATTACATTAATATGGAAGATAGTGAGCACTTTCTTTCTAATCAATTAATTAATACTTGTTTGAGGCAGTCTACATGTCCCTAACCTTCAATTAATAATAACATAGACATTATCAGGTCTTGCCTTTTCAATTACTGCAGAAATTTTGTCGTCTTTCTAAAGATAACTCACTGATTTTAGGGTCTTAGATTTTTTTTTAATGTTCACAGGTTAAAACATATATTTTTTCCTTACTGTAATATTTAGTTTAAAACACATTTTCTAATAAACTCTAAGTGAAATAACTTTTTAAAAGAACTAGAATTAAAACAACCGCAAATTCTGAGAATAGATTATATAACAAATCCCAAAGGAAAAAAAACACAGGCCTTATTCTTTTAAAAATCCTTTTAAAGACATTACAGTTCACTTGGTATTCTAAAATTACTAAAGTTGAGATTTCATAGGCTCCAGATTGATTCCTTCAGTACCCCCCCACACAGTGATACTTGAAAAGAGAAGCCAAGAAATCTAAATTGTTGAGTGTTTATTACCACTTTACATATTGTTTCTTATAAAACACTGAAAACATAGGAAAAATAAAAAGTTCTGTCTTACTCATCTTTTGTCCTTTGTGAATCAAATATCCTGCTTGCTTAAAATCTAGCTGAGCATCATGATCCTTGCACCATGGTTTGAAAACACAAAGAGCAGATACCAGTTTTTAATCAGTGCTGAAATTAATTAAACTACAAAGGTAAAAATGTACCAATGCACAACTCTCACAAGTGCTACATGAAAGTTACATGTAAGAATTTTTAAGGTTGAGGAAGTTGTTTTCAGGCACAGGGCAAAAGCTGTAGCCTCACATCAACAACAGGTCTAAGAATTTAAGACACTAATCGTACCAGTTAAGGTTAACACCAAGTATTTCAGTACTTCAGTACGATACTTCCACTCTTGTAGGGTGAAAATGCCTCATAATTTATGTAAAACATCGAGTCCTATAATAAACCACCTCCTTAAAAGAGTAGCTACAGAGTTCTGGTGGCATGCCAAGACAGAGAACACCACTATACCTCACTCAATCAAGGCTGGACTTGAGTAGGGGAGCAGAGGTGGACAATCCATAATTACACAAGAAAGTAGGTCTTGTAGAGCTGAGTAATTTTAACAAGGGTCTTCGAATACTTTGATGAACGCATTAAAAATATTTTTTGGGGGAAGGAAATTTTCCATCTTACACGTGGAAATAAAACTCATAAATTCTGACTGGAGGCTGGTGATTAGCACAACTTTGTGGAATAACCTAACTTTTCACATAAAACACAATCCTAAAACTTTAAGATACCGTCTAGGCAAACGGCACCAAGTATCACCTTTTCCAGCCTTCGCCGGCAATGGAAGTGGGTTGGACACCCCCAAACCATCACCCTACCCCCACAGGAAATGAGTTCTATCTTCCCCCTCCCCCTGGACGGCCTTCCTCCCCTCCCCCAACCGGAAGTGAAGCGCCCCCATTCAGTCGGCCTCAAACCGAGACAAACCAGTAACAACAGCAAAAGAAAGATGATCTTCAAGGGGTGAAGGGCACCTCCACTGTGGCCACCCCGAAGCTCGCCTTGCTTACTGACCTGCTGACGATAGGGGCAGGCAGGGGCCTGGAGCCTAAAGAAAGTCCCTTGCACAGAGGACAATTCCCTGAGCCCCTCTCAATCGCCTTCACTCTTCTCACTCCGTCGTCTCACAGCATGGAAAAAATTCCTCCGCAGTACTTTATTTTGATATCCTTTCTTTCCCTTTACCTAGTCGCTTAACTATCTTCCCATAGGTAACTTTTCTTATCGCAGTAACATTTAAAATTGTTCAGTGGGGGAGAAAAATGGAATATTATTCTCCATACCTTAAGGAAAATGAAGGGATTATTTTGTTCAAATGCGGCGAAGGACTACGTGATTACGCAAGGTGAGACTTACTTTTGCGGAGGTTTCTGGGAATTGTAGTTTTTTAAATTGCTAAGGCCTGCAGAAAGGAATCGGTAATTACTATACACTGGGGTCCTTGGAAAGACATGTTTTGTATTCTAGGGCAGGATGACCAGGGGACTTCGGCACCAAAAGGGCCAATACTCCCTTGCCCTCTTCCTCTGGAACTTAATGGAACCAAAATTTCTCTTCACTTTGGCCCAAGGTCCTGGTCGTCCCGCCCTCTTCCTTTGGCCACGCCCTCGTCACCAGTCAGGCGCCCTCATAGGCTCATCCTCTGGAGGTAGGAACGCGAGAGGAGGGGCGTCACGGTGACTCCTCCCGCGGAGCCGGGATGAGACTGGTGAGAGGGGCCGAAGGCCAGGGCTTGTGCGCGCGCGCGTGCTCGCTCCTCAAGGAGCGCGGCGGCGAATGTGAGCGCGGAGGGGTGGCGCGCTGGGCTGGGAGGAGGCTGGCGGGCTGGTGGGCTGGGCGGGCGGCGGGCGGCGGGCGGCCGGGAGCGCGCGGCAGACTCGGCGGCGGCGAGTAGTTAGTTACTTCTTAGTGTCAGTTGCTCGGTGGCGGCGGCCGCGGTCACCGGGAAGGGGACAGGACGGCCGGCGATGGTGGTCACCACAGCGGCATGTGCGCCTTTCAGGTAACAGGGGCAGGGCTACCCGCGCCCCCTCGGTTCCCTTCTCCTCCGGCGCCGATTTGTGGGACCACGGTCGTCCTTGGGGTGAGGGCGCTGACCTGGGGGAATCCGGGCGGGGCGGCGCGGGGTCGAGTGGCGCCGCCGCAAAGGCCCAGGCGGCCGGTGTGTCCCGCCTGGCGCGGGCTCTGCGGCCACCCCCGAGCCCCGCCGCCCCCGGGGCTCGCCGCCGCCGCCGCCGCCCCCTCCCGCGGCGGCGGCGGCGGCGGCGGCCCCGGTAGCTCGGCGCCCCCCAGAGGAGGGAAAGTTTGGACCTGGCGAAGAGGGACGCCCCCGGGCGCGGCTGGGAGGCTGCTGGGGAAAGCGAAGCCTGTGAAGAGCTGGATGCGGGGAGACTGGGGCAGGAAGGGCTTCTCTCTTCTTGCTAAGTCTACACGGTCATCCCGCTCCAAATCCGGGAGGATCCGGTGCAGGCTCGCCAGCTGCGCCGGGACGAAACCCGGGGGCTCTTTGCCTGCTCACTTGGCCCTGCGGTTTGTGAGCCCGCTAACGTGCGGGTTTGCTGGGTTGTTTGGGAATTTTCAGTGTTTCTGTCGGTCAATTTGTTTCTTTTTTGCCCTTTGACTCATCCGTTTTTGCTACTTTTCTTACCTCCCGCGTTGGGGACTAGCAGTCTGAACCCCCATCCCTCCCCCTCCCTGTACCATCCGTCTGGAGAATTTGATTTCGTTTTTCGTCCTTTGACAAAGTTAAAGACTGCAGAGTGCAACAGGAAGGAGATTTCCCACCTTTAAATGTTACTTTCTTGCAATCCTTTTGTTTTGTTTTGTTTTCAAGATCCAAGTTTAGGAATTTGAAAGCTGTGGAATGGAGTTATTAGAAGGCTGGCGCTGAGGGGATAGTGACGAGTTAAAAGAAAACTATGATTTCATCTTTATTGGCTTTGCTATAGAAAACCTAATACATTTTTCTTCTGCCTCTGTTAAATGTGGTAAGATTAGACGTTGAATTAAATATTTGGAGACTTACATAAAAGGCTATTTTTAGGTCATTGGATGATGTATGTCAACAGCTTTTCACCTGAATTGGGTTTGCCTCGAGGTTTCTGTTTTGGGGCCTGCCTACTGATTTTTGTTCAGCCACAGCGTCTTTTTTCCCTGATAAATGAAATGATATAGAAATGTGTGTAGTGGGAGAACCCATATTGCTCTCTGTAGTGTGGAAGTGAAAAACGTGAATTATGCACAGGGGTAAAACTTTCCATGAGCAGTCTTGGATACTTGCTTCATGATGGCTTCTTCTGTAATCTCAGAGCATTTCCAGATAGCTCAATTCGCTGACTACCTTAATTACTTTCTGAAGTGCCTGGCACCACTTCTCTTTGGTGACTCGTTTAGTACGCTGTAATAGCAGGTATGGTACATTTTTGTGCCTTCAAAGATGGGAGTTATAGCTTCCGCCCAGAGATTAATAGTTAACAATGGAAGCCGAATTCATACCATTCCTAGTGAGTTTTGGCTATGACCAACTCACAAACTATGTGAAAAAACAAACATCTTTCCGTAGCTGTCAGAGGGGGAAATATTTTATCATGTCTTTATTTTGGAGACTCTAACTTGATTATATTATGTGGGAAAAAATGTCAAATTATTTTCTTTGCAGCTTTGTGATGTGTGGTCCTCCTTTCCATCCTTTATCTCCCACTTAGGGGCTGATATATATGTTTGGCTGGGTTCCGGGATGGGAAGAAAATATATATTTTTTTAAGATTTTATTTATTTATTTGACAGAGATACAGTGAGAGAGGGAACACAAGCAGGGAGAGTGGGAGAGGGAGAAGCAGGCCTCCCACTGAGCAGGGAGCCTGATCCCAGGACCCTAGGACCATGACCCGAGCCAAAGGCAGACGCCCAACGACTGAGCCACCCAGGCGCTCCGGGAAGAAAATATTTTGGCAAAAGGAAAAGATAAGATTGCTTTGAACTGTTATGATATTATGAGTATTCATTTTACCCAGTGATAGTACAGAGAAACTTCCTCGCTTAATGTTTGTACCCCATTAACATTCTGTCAGAATTCATTTTTAAGAGTCTGCTCTGAGGCCCATAAAGAAATAATGCCACTTCATAACTGTTTCTGACAATCACATTAAAAAATGTGTTCCTGGAATGCATTATATGTGTACTCATATAAACATTTATCTTTGTACATTTATGGTAATGTAAATATTTAAGTCTGAGAGCTTAAAAACTTTTATTTGCTTATTTGCATACATGTTTTTCAACATCTAGCAGTGCCAACCGTATTTGCCAAATAAGCATCAGCCATAAATTCATGCTTTGGCACATTTCATATAATAACTCTTCTAAATTGCTCCATGGTGAAGCATCATGAGATTAGCATTTGCTTCATGAGAGAGATTTGTTGTTGTTTTTAACTGTAATGATGTGCTGTTTAAGTGGAACAGGTGCTGGACTCTAGCTGTTTGTATTGAAAACTGCCAAATTATGCTCTTTTGTTGGTTGGGTTGTTTAAGTAATTTAGGAACCAGACTGTGGCCCCTGGCATGCCAAGAGTGAGTTCAAGCTTCCATATCACTGCTGCAAATCCCTATTTTCATTCTAAGAGGCAGGTGTGTGTGATGAGCTTCACTTTCTCATTGCTGTTCTCTCTGTAATTCCTATTCCTCACCACCACCACAGTCCTTTCATTACTAGAGCTCTTTGGAAAGTCTAGGCTCCTTCATTGCTGGTTTGTTTTCCTTGTAGAACTAGAAATTCTAGGAACTTTCAGGGCAGGAATAGATCATATTTATTTGATGAATATTTTGATTGCCTTTTAAATGGTAGGCCCTGAGTGTAATGTAAGAATGATGTTCCTTCTTGCAAGCAGTGTACAGGTGAGGAGGAGAAGATAGTTGATAACTGATAATTAACAATGTGATGTGTGATCTATGACACAGGTGTAAGTAGATTCCTATGGGTGGAAGCACCACCCGTCTGAGAATTGGGGTGGGGTAGGTGGGAGTAGTTGACTCAGACTTGGAGTAGTTGGGGAGGGGGAGTCGACTCAGGTAGGTGGGGTAGTTGACTCAGACTTGGGGTCTTGGGGAAGGGGAGTCCTGAAATGCATCCTCGTGGGTTACCTGAGCTAATATTCAAGAGTAGGACTTAACTAGGTGCAGAAAAAGGCAAAGGACATTTTATTTTATTTTTATTTATTTATTTATTTTTGATAAAAGACCAGTTTATTTTGCTCCTTAACCCATCTGGCCTCCCCCTTCCCTTAACCCTGTCACCTCGATATATGGGAAAGAACATTTTAGACTAGCTCTGTCCTATAAAAATGTAATGTGAGCCACAAATATGCCATATATATGTTTGAATTTTCTAGTAGATGCATTTAAAAAAGTGAAATTCATTTTAATATATTATTTAACCTGATATAGCTAAAATATTATTTCACCATGTAATCAATATTTTGCAAATATTGAAATATTTGATATTCTTCTTTTCATACTAAGTCTTCAGAGTCTGGTATGTATTTTAAATTTAAAAGCACATCTCAATTTAGACTAGTCAAATTCAAGTAATCAGTAGCCACAGGGGACAGCACAGTTTTCGAACAGGGGCCAGTGAAGTGGTAAGAAGCCAAATCATTGAATGCCTTATCAGCCAAGTTAAGGAGCTTTAACTTTATCCTGAAGGCTGTGAGGATTTAGTGGGGAAAATTGCTGTCATGGAATCAGGTTTGTGTTTTAGACCTACCGTGTTGACAGTGAAGTGAATGCTGGATTAGAGAAGGGCAAAACTGGAAGCAAGATCAGTTAAGAAGCAGTTCTTGGTGAGAAAGGATGAGGGATAAAAAAGGGGTGGGGTGGATGTATAAGAGATTGAGGAAGTATTATTATCAACAGTACAGGGTAAATAATCAGATTATGGAGTTGAGCAAGGTTGAAGATTTAGGTTGTGAGCTACTGTATGGGGCAGGCAACTGAAGAGAAGCCATCCATCTGTGCCAGACAGACCAAAGATGAAAAAAGGAAACTGAGAGATTTCTCTCAGAAGCTGAGGGAGGAGAGAGTATTTCAAGGACTAGGAGTGGTCAACACTGTACCTACCATGGAAAGGCCAAAGAAGATAAGGCTGATTAAGATGCCATTTGTAACTTTAGCTAGTGCAGGTAGCTACATTGTAATGCCTTTAGGGAGTTAATAGTGAATGACAGAAGCTTAGCTAATTCAGAGCTAATACAGTGTTTTCAACAAAGAACTGAAAAAAAAAAGTATAGGTGGAGGGAGATGCAAGGGATTTAGAGAAGTTTACTCCCTCCCCCTTTTAAATTAAGAGGATTTGGGGCACATTTATATGGGCTTGAAAAGAACCAAAGTTGGGGAGAGATGGGCAGGGAAAGAGGGGGAGAAAGGTGATTGATGAAGCCAAAGATTTGGGAAAAGTTTTCAATTAGCAATAATCGCGCCTTGGATAAAGATTTGGAAGCAGTAGGAGGGGATGGGATCCAAGGCATAGGTAGAGAAATTAACCTTGGTTAGGAGGTGATTTTCCATTCCAGTGAACAGAAAGGAAGGAGGTAAAGTTGGAGATAAAGTTTATAACTGACAGGGGCAGGAAGGAGAATGAGTTGATAACATGTATCATTTTTGAATACCTGCTAAGAGAGAAGGAGAATGTGGTGGAATAGGAGTTCTTAAAAAGAATATGTGAGTTTATAACAACTTCCAAGGGAATGAGAGAGAGAGAGAGACATGGAGGGAGAGAGGGGCAGACACTGAAAGAGACATGACTAGGAAAATGAAGGATTGTTAAGCAGCACTGAAGGCCCATTTGAGATTGATTGTACACCTTGGATTTGTAGGGGTACCAATGTGCATGGTTGTTTGATTTTTTTTTCCTCCAGTGTGATCACTCTGTGTATAGCTGAAGAAACTATTTAATACTCCCAGGAGCTCATAAGGTAGGTACTGTTAATCTCTTTGATTATAAGAT